CTATAAAAGTCCAGGTGCAGATGGATTAGCTGCCAAATTCTACAAGACCTTCAGAGCACCCAATTTAGTAAAAGAGAAAATGCAGAGACATTCCCAAACTCTATTTATGACACTAGCATTAATCCTGATAGTAAAACAAGATAGATACACTGACGAAAAAATTATAGACCAATCCCCCTGATGAACTCAGATACAAAAACTGTCCAGAAGACTGGGGACTGAAGAGATGTTTCATGGTTAAGAGAATGTATTGCTCAGGGCCGGAGAGATGGCTTAGCAGTTAAGAGCAGCTGTTAAGGCTGCTCTTCCAGAGGTCCTGAGTTCAATTCCTAGCAACCACACGGTGGCTCACAATCATCTATATGGGAACTGATGATGCCCTGTTCTGATACCCTCTTCTGTCATGCAGGTATACAAGCAGACAGAGCACTCACATTTATAAATCTTTTTTTTTTTTAAAGAGCATATACTGCTCTTGCTTAGGATCCAAGTTCTGTTCCCAGCACCCACAGTTCATAGCTCACAACCACCTGTAACTCCAGCTCTCGGCAATTCAACTCCCTCTTCTGGCATCTGTGGCCAACTGCAATTACATGGCATGTATTCAGACAGAAACAAATCAACAGAAAGCAAATGCTGGGGATGATGTGGACAAAGAGGAAATCTTATATATGGCTCGTGGGAACAAAAGTAACATAAGCAAGTCCTTCACAGTGGAAATCAGCATGGAGATATCTCAAGAAACTGAAAGTAGATCTACCAAACAGCCCCGCTATACAACTCCTGGCTATTTCCATGAGAGGCTCTAAATCAACATACCATAGAGCTACCTCTATTCCAGTGCTGATTGCAGCTCTCTTCACAACAGCTAAGTCTTGGAGCCAGGCTGGGTCTCCAAAGACAGAGGAATGGTAAACAAAACTGTGGTTTCCACACACAATGGAAGCTTTTCAGCCACAAAACAGAATGAAGTCATGTTATTCTCAGGAGACTGGAGATAACTGGAGATGAACACACTAAACCAATGAAGCCAGTCTCAGAAAGACAAAAGATTGTATTTGTCTAATCAATGCTCCCTGGATATCTAGAGATGTGTGAAGCTGTGTATGGATACACGACAGGGAAGCAGATGTGAGGCTGCCAAGGGAGTGAAGGGGACTAGGGAGGGGAGGGGAGAGAAGGGAGCATGTGGAGAAGGAAGGGAGATATGCTCAACATAAACATAGTGTATGACCAATAGCAATCTACAGCTTCAACGCAATCCCCATCAAAGTTCCAACACAATTCTTTACAGACCTTGAAAGAACAATACTCAGCTTTGTATGGAAAAATAAAAACCCCAGGATAGCTAAAACAATCCTGTACAATAAAGGAACTTCCAGAGGTATCATGATCCCTGATTTCAAGGTCTACTACAGAACTATAGTAACAAAAACAGCATGGTATTGGCATAAAAACAGGTGGATCAGTGGAACTGAATCGAAGTCCCTGGTATAAATCTACATGCCTATGAACAGCTGATGTTTGACAAAGGAGCCAAAATTATACAATGGAAAAAAGAAAGCATCTTCAATGAATGGTGCTGGCATAAATGGAAGTTGACATATAGAAAAATGCACATAGATCCATATCTACCACCCTGCACAAAACTCAAGTCCAAGTGGATCAAAGACTGCAATATAAATCCAATTACACTGGACCCAATAGAAGAGAAAGTGAAAAAGAGGCTTGAATATATTAGCATAGAAGACAACTTCCTGAATAGAACATTAGTAGCACAGACACTGAGATCAATAATTAATAAATGGGACCTTCTGAAACTGAAAAACTTCTTAAGGCAAAGGGCACTGTCAATAAGACAAAAATGACAGCCTACAGAATGGGAAACTATCTTTACCAATCCCATATCTGACCAAGGGTTGATCTGTAAAATATAAAAGAACTCAAGAAACTAGACATCAAAAAACCTCCAAATAATCCAATTAAAAATGGGGTACAGATCTAAACAGAGAATTCTCAACAGAAGAATCTCAAACAGACGAGAGACACTTAAAGAATTATTCACCATCCTTAACCATCAGAGAAATGCCCATCTTACACCTGTCAGAATGGCTAAGATCAAAAACACTAAGGACACCTTATGCTGGTGGGAGTGAAAACTTGTACAATCACTTTGAAAATCAATACAGAGGCTTCTCATAAAATTGAGAATCAGTCTACTTCAAGATCCAGCTATACCAATCTTGGGCATATACCCAAAGGATACTTCATCTTACCACAAGGACACTTGCTCAGCTATGTTCATAGCAGCTTTATTTACAATAGCCAGACCCTGGAAACAACCTAGATGCCCCTCAACTGAAGAATGGATAAAGAGACTGTGGTACATTTACACAATGGAATATTGCTCAGCTGTTAAAAACAATGACATCAGGCCGAGCGGTGGTGGCACACGCCTTTAAACCCAGCACTCGGGAGGCAGAGGCAGGTGGATCTCTGTGAGTTCAAGGCCAGCCTGGTCTACAAGAGCTAGTTCCAGGACAGGAACCAAAAAGCTACAGAGAAACCCTGTCTCGAAAAAATAAAAAACAAACAAACAAATCAATGACATCAGGAAATTTGCAGGCAAATGGATGGAACTAGAAAAAAAATCATCCTGAGTGAGGTTAAGACAGACATGGTATGGACTCACTCTTAAGTGGGTATTAGTTGCAGAGAATAACCAGGCTACAACCCATAGCACCTGAGAGGTTACGCAACAAGGAGGGCCCAAAGGGAGATGGGGACACATGGATTTCCCTGGGTAAACTGGGGGCCAAAGGAGTTTAGGAACATGCGGGATTGGGTTGGGGGCTGGATGAAGGGAAAGAATAATGAAAGAGATGTCTTGATGAAGGGGGCAGTTTGGGGTCAGGTACCTGGTACAAGGAAACTCCCACGGATCTACAAGGATGACCCCAGCTAAGACTCCTAGCAACAGTAGATAGGTAGCCTGACCTGGCTATCTCCTGGAATCAATTGGTGATTACCCCAGTTGTCATCAGAGAGCCTTCATTCAGTAACCGATGGAAGCAGATACAGAAATCCACTAAGCACTGGGCCGAGCTCTGGGAGTCCTGCTGAAGAAAGGGAGGAGGGATTGCAAGAGCCAGGGGGTCAAGGTCACCATCAGGGAACCCAGAGAGACAGCTAACCTGGGCTCATAGGAGCTCACAGACTCTGGACCAACAGCTAGGGAAACTGCGTTGGACCGACCTAGGCCCTCTTCATAAACGTGAAAGGCGTGTAACTTGGTCTCCTGTGGGACTCCTAGTGGCAGGAGCAGGGCCTGTCCCTGCGGCTTGAGCTGACTTGCAGGAACCTATCCCTCATACTGGGTTGCCCTGCCCAGACTTAATACAAGAGGAGCCTACCCTACTTCAGCTTGATATGCCATGCTCTGTTGACAAGCCCCAACCCTTTCTGAACAGAAACAGAGGAGTGGATGGGGGAGAGTGTTGAGGGAGGTGGGAGGAGGGAATAGGAGGAGAGGAGGGAGGGGAAACTGCAGTTGGGATATAAAACATATGAATAAATTCAATTAATAAGAAAAAACAAACAAAACCCAATATAGTCTATGAAGCTTTCCTAGATCCAGTGCATGGCTCAGCGGCAAAGACATCTGTCCCTAAGCCTGATGATCAAAGTTTGATCCCTGGTCCCACCTAGTGGTAAGAGAACTGACTCTCCCAAGTTGTCCTCTGACCTCCACCCACACACTGTGGCACACTTATACATACAACAAGTGAATGCAATTTCAAAATGCCCTCATGTGATATGGTACTATGCATAATAAATATATACAATGAAAATTTTTTAAATATTTATTATGTATACAGTATTCTGTCTGTGTGTATGCCTGCTGGCCAGAAGAGGGCACCAGACCTCATTACAGATGGTTGTGAGCCACCATGTGGTTGCTGGGAATTTAACTCATGACCTTTGGAAGAGCAGGCAATGCTCTTAACCACTGAGCCATCTCTCCAGCCCCCTACAATGAAAATTTTAATTTTAAAACGATCCTAATCTCCAATGGTTAATATTGTTACCTTGATGGGACCTAGAATCACCTAGGAGAAGTTTCTAGGTGTATCTGTGAGAAATTATATTTTATTCTTTTTTTTTTTTTTTTTGGTTGTTTGGTTTTTTTGTTTTTTTGATTTTTAGGGTTGGGTTTTTCTTTCTTTTTTTTTTTTTTTTTTTTGGTTTTTTGAGACAGGGTTTCTCTGTGGTTTTGGAGCCTGTCCTGGAACTAGCTCTTGTAGACCAGGCTGACCTCGAACTCACAGAGATCTGCCTGCCCTCTGCCTCCCGAGTGCTGGGATTAAAGGCATGCACTACTAACACCTGGCGAGAACTTATGCTTTTCTTTACATTGTGTGTGGGTTGTGTCTGTATGTATGTGTGCAAACACATGGAGGCCTGAAGCAATAAAAAGAATCGGCCCCTGTTACTCTTCCAACCTACTCCCCCTGAAGCAAGTTCGTGACTAGCTAGCTCGCTAGCTCTGGGGAATCCCATGTCCACCTTCCAAATCTGGAATTACGAACAGGCTGCCACATCCTCCTGGCATTTCCATGGGGATCCAAACTCCAGTTCTCCCGAGGGCACACCAAACACTAGCCCCTGAGCCATCTCCTCAGCCCCCACAGAAGATGTTCCAGATCAGGTTAACCGAGGAGGGAAGCCTCTTTCCAAAGTCAGGTAGCACTATCCCATGGGCTGGGGTCCCAGTCTAAATAAGGAGACAGTGAGTTGAGCACCAGCATGCATCTCTCCCTGCTTCCGGTGCGTGGGTGCAACATGGCCCGCCGCTTCGGGCTCCTGCCACCATGCCAGACTGTACCCTCAAACGATGAGCAAATCTTTCCGGAAGCTGCCTTTTCTGGGTACTTGATCCTAGCAAGAGAAGTAACACATACAGAAACCACACAGAAGAAGTGAAAGTGTTGAATATTTTATTAAGATTTAAAAGCTTTGTGTGTGACGAACCGAGTTCGAGGAGGGGGCACCTCTCAAAGGCGTGAGCCCTGTGTGGCTTGGTCATTGGGCAGCTGTGAGAGGTCTGTCTTCTAAGTGCTTTGTGTATTCACACTCTCGGCCCCCGGTAGCGAAAACTGACGACATCTTCTTCCTTCACGAGGACATCTTCTTCCTTCACGGAAGAACAGACACTGTTACGCTCCAGGTTTACCAGCTTGCTGTCACAGCATCTTTGACATCCCAGCTGGACTAGAATTTCTTCCAGTGAGTTCTAGAACTTATCTCAAGTGACCTTGAGGCTCCTCAGAGGCACAAATTATCCAAATACTTCTTAGGTTGGGCTTGGGGGTGGGGCTGTGTGGAGCAGGGAATTACAGGCAGCTGTGAGTCACCTAATGAGGGTGTTGCGAACCGAACTCAGGTCCTCTGCAAGAGCGGTTTGTGCTCTTACTGTGCCTGCCTCTGCCTCCTGAGTGCTAGGATTATAGGTGTGGACCCCATCACTGGGTTCAGCTTCATTTTAACAATTAAAATTCTATATGTGTGTGTGTGCACGCACATAATCAAGCAAGCAAGCACGTGTACACATTCCACAGCCTTGTGTGGAAGTTGGAAGATAGCTTGTGGGAGTTTACTCTTTCACTGAGTAGATCCTGGGACTTGAACTCAGATCATAGGTTAGGCAGCAGCATCTTTACACACCCAGCCACTTTACCAGTACCATCTGAGGGATTTTTAAGCTTGCTGCCACTGAGACCATCCCAAACTGAACTGAAACCCTGTTCCTATTTAACACTGACTCACACCTTCTACCCCACCCAGCCTCTGCGACCCACCAGTCTGTACTTTCTGTTGCTTATGAGTTTGCTCGCTCTCAGGACCTCACAGACACGGAAATCAAGCAAGATTTGCCCTTTTGTAACTGGCCTTGTGTGTCTATGGAGTATGTGTGCCTACATGTGTGTAAATGTTCACATGCACTTACAGAGACCACAGGTTGACTTCAGGAGTCTTCCTCAATCACTTGCTACCTTAGTCTCTCACTGAGTCTGGGACTCACCATTTTGGATAGACGGGGTGGCCATCGGCCTGTCTCTGCCTTCCAAATGATGGGTTTACAAGTGCATGCGCTAAGCCCAGGTTTTTACATGGAGGCTGGGCTGTAGCTGAGGTCCCCCCCATGTTTGTCTGGCAAACACTTTACCAACTAAGTATATCTCCAAAGTCTCCACGGCCTTGAACTCTCCACGCAGCCAAGGATAGCCTTGAACCCCTGACCCTTCTGTGTTTGCTTCCTGGGTGCTAGGGTTACAGTCTAGTGTCATTGCCCCCAGATAACTTCTATATGATGTATATTTTACCACTAGACAGGATCTTCATGAAAACTGTTATCTGATCCCCCTTTTCTCAGGGTGGCAAGACAACTCAGATAGTTTGTGGAAGAACTCATCCCCAAACTATTCTAGAACAAGACAAAATTCAGTCAGGGGCAAGATGGTTTTCCAACAGCTGGGCCAGGCTGCATTGTTTGCATTCTTAGATAGGAAATCATCTTAAGTGTCCTGTCCCTTCCTTTCCCATTCCTCTGCTTCAGCTAAAGAGCCAAGAAAAAGACAGTTTCAGACTGGAAGCAAAGAGATAAACTCCTATGGGTGAAGACTGGCTTTGTGTGCAGTAGGGAAGCCAAAGGTCAGCCTCAGTCATCGTTCCTCAGGGCCTGTCCATGTTGTTTAACAGTGTGTGCGTGCATATATGTATGTGTGCATGTGTGTACGCATGCATGTGCATATGTATGTGCGTGCATGTGTGTGCATGTGTATATGTGTGTGCATGTGTGTATATGCATGTGCATGTGTATGTGCGTGCATGTGTATATGTGTGTATATGTATGTGCATGTGTATGCGCATGCATGTGTATGTGTGTATATGTGTGTGTGCATGTGTAAGAAGATAAGGGTATGTTGCTATAGCATGCATGAGGTCAAAGGCAACTTTCAGAGTCATTTCCCCTTTCTACTGTGTGGGACCCAGGGGTTGAACTTCAGTTGTCAAGCTTGACAGCAAGTGCCTTTGCCCAGTTGTGCTCAATAGTTCTAGGACAATCTGGCAAAGGCTAGGATCATTTGAGAGGAGGGAATCTCAATTAAGAAAATACCTCCAACCAGACAGTGGTGGTAGCAAGCCTTTAATCCCAGCACTGCGGGACCCACATTAAAAAGCCTGATGTAGTAAGGTGGTGGTACACACACCTTTAATCCCAGCACTGAGGAGGCAGAGGCAGGCAGATATCTGTGAGTTCGAGGTCATCCTGGTCTACAGAGTGAGTTCCAGGACAGCCAAGGCTACACAAAGAAACCCTGCCTCAAAAAAAAACAAGACAAAACAAAACAAAAAAAAAAAGAAGAAGAAAAAGAAAAAGCTTTCATAAAAATCAGCCTGTGGGCAAACCTGTGTGACACTTTCTTAATTGGTGATTGATGGGAAGGGCCCAGCCCACTGTGGGTGGTGCTATCTCTGAGCTGGTGGTCCTGGGTTCTATTAAGAGAGAAGGCTGAGGTTATCCTTCCTTACCCCTTCTGAGGAATGGATACGGGGTTGAGTGGGGGAAAGGTACAGGGAGCAGGAAGAGGGGAAGTGGGGAACTGTGGTTGGTATGCAAAATAAAAAAAAACTTTTAAATTAAAAAGAAAGAAAGAAAGAAAGAAAGAAAGAAAGAAAGCAGGTTGAGCAAGCCATAAGGAGCAAGTCAGTAAGCAGCAGCTTTCTACGGTCTCTGCACCAGCTCCTGCTTCTGGGTTTCTGCCCTGTGTGAGTTTCTGTCCTGACTTCCTTCTGTGATGAACATTGATGTGGAAGTGTAAGTCAAATAAACCCTTTCCTCCCCCCACCCCTACTTTTGGTCACGGTGTTCCTGACTATCACAACACTGGTCCATCTCACCGGCACCCCACATCGTTTTTGCTGTTGTTTTGTGAGACAGGCTCTCTTGCTGGATTGGAACTTCATTTGGCTAGACTGGCTAGCCAGGGATCAAACGTCTCTACCCACCCAGAACTGGGATCCTAAACATGTTTCAACATCCCTGGACTTTTCACATGTGCTCGAACTCAGGTTCTCATGCTTGCATAGCAAGTGCTCGACCAGCTGAACCGCCTCCCAGCTCACAAACAAGCTTCTTGATACTCGAAGGCCACAAAGAAGAACAGGAGCCAGGAAGGCAGCCAGTTAAATTCAGGAGGGTGGGAAGAGAAGTCAGCCTGACCAAGCGCCAGGTTCACTGCGATAGCATTAGAAGCACGGCCACCAAGAGGTGGCCCCAGGACGTGGGGCCCTTGTTACTCACCTCACCAAAGTGTTTCTCAATAATGTTCAGGGCACTCTGGCTAATATGACAATTCTGGTGGAGCTGTAAGGACTCGATTTTTCCAATACCGCCAAATTCCTCTATCAGAAGACACAGGTTTTCCTTCTCATGCAGCTTGTCTGCCTCCTGAGGATGGATGGGGACCAGCAAAGAGACCATCAGACACTGAGTGTGCTGGAGAGTGGGTGCTTCAGCTGGACGGCCCTAAGGGAGCTTTCCTAGGTAGAGACAGACCTGTTCCAGCAGGAGTGGCTGCAGACCCATTGGAAATGCCAACATTCCCTCTCGTTTCATTAATTTATTTTCTCAATCATGCATGTGCACATTTATTCACAAAATCTCATTCACAAAATCACCCATGAAGTCATTCATTCACAATAATCTCCCATGAATTCATTCACAAACTCTCCCATGAATTCATTCACTCACAAATACATTCATGAATTCACCTATGCATTTACTTGTTCACACATTCACTTTTCTACTCAAAATGTATTCAACATTAGAGAATACAAACATAATAAATATAAAAATGCTTTTGTCCAAAGCATTAAAGAATTCAAAATGAAAAATATTCAATAAAAAAAACCAAGTGCAAGTCAGGTGGTGGTGGCCCATGCCTTTAATCCCAGCACTCAGGAAACAGAGAAAGGCAGATGTTTGTGAGTTCGAGGCCAACCTGGTCTGCAGAGCAAGTTCTAGGACAGGGTCCAAAGCTGCAGAGAAACCCTGTCTCAAAAAACCAAAACCAGGGGCTGGAGAGATGGCTCAGAGGTTAAGAGCCCTGGCTGCTCTTCCAGAGGTCCTGAGTGCAATTCCCAGCAACCACATGGTGGCTTACAACCATCTGTACTGAGATCTGGCGCCCTCCTCTGGCCTGCGGGCACACATGGAGGGAGAATGTTGTATTCATAATAAATAAATAAATCTAAAAAAACCTCAACAAAACCAATACTGGGCGCACGCCTTTAATCCCAGCACTCAGGAGGCAGAGGCAGGTGAATCTCTGAGTTAGAGGCCAGCCTGGTCTATAGAGTGGGTTCACAGGACAGGCTCCAAAACTACAGAGAAACCCTGTCTCAAAAAAAATAAAATAAAATAAAATAAAAAATAAAAAAAAGAAAAGAAAGAAAAAAGACGAACAACAACAAAACAAAAACCCCTCAACTCCTTAACCTCCTCTTCTTTCCACCCCCTAAGTGTTGGCATAACAGGCACACCCAGCTCAATCATTAAAGGAATTCACAGTACCAGTGCCTGATGTTCATCCCTTCTCCTTTGTGACTGTCCTGAAGAAATGATGTTATCCTGTCTTAAAAGATTTATGGTGCTTTTCAAACCTGTCCTATCCTCCTTTGACTTAATTCCCGATGGCTCACCAGATCTGTTTTAAAAGTTTGATATAGGGAGGCTGGAGAAATGACTTGGTGGCTAAGAATATTGATTGGTTTTCCAAAGGACACAGGTTCAGCTCCCAGTGCCCACCCAGTGGTTCATAACCATTTGTAATTCCAGTTCCAGAGGATCCCATGCCCTCTTCTGGCCTCTGCAGGCATGTGGTGCACAGACATACATGCAGGTAAAACACCCATTCACATAAAATAAAAATAAATCAGTCCTTAAAGAAAAAACTGACACATGGTGATGCCTTCCTGTATTCTCAGTATTTCAGAGGCCTCATGATGCAGAAGGACTACCATGTAAACCTGCCTGGGCTCCATAAGGAGACCCTGTCTCCAAAGCAAAAAAAAAAAAAAAAAAAAAAATCAAAAACAAAAACTAATTCAGGAGAAATGACTCAGTGTTTAAAAGCACAAATTACTCCTACAGAGGACCTGAGTTCAGTTCCCAGCACCCACACCAGGTGACTCACAAGCATCTGTTGTGAGCTGCAACTCCAGCTCCAGGGGAATCTGATGCCTCTGTTTGCACCCGCACTCACATGCACGTGCCCACGCACTTAAAAATAAAATAAAGCTTTTTTTAAAAAGGCCTAGTAACTTCTTTTTAAAGACAGGGTTTCTCTGTATAGCCCTGGCTGTCCTGGAACTCACACAGCAGACCAGGCTGGCCTCAAACTCAGCTTCTCCTGCCTCTGCCTCCTGAGTTCTGGGACTAAAGGCGTGTGCCACAATGCCTGGCACTGGCACAGCTCTGTAAACAGAGGGTGTTTCTGCACCCTCTGTTCTGCGGGTTTCTCAATCTCAGGTGGGATAAACCCACATCTTCACCAGCCAGCCTCCCCTGCCCCCCAACCCATGCCTTTGGTTCACTCACTCACTCACTCACTCGTTTATTCATTCGGAGTCAGGGTTTCATGTAACCCAGTCTGGCACTAACTTGCTATATAGTTGAGGGTGACCTTGAACTCCTCACCCTCCTTACCTCAACCTCCGGAGTGCTGGTATTATATATAGGCCTGTAGCAACCTGCGTAGGCTATGTGGTGCTTGGATGGAACCCAGGATGGAACCCAGGGCTTCACACATGCTAGGGAGGCATGCTAACAAATGTGCTACATCCCAGCCCGACTTACTTGTGCTACTTAAACTTTTTACATTCATTTTCTCTCTCTCTCCTGCCACCCCTTGTGTATGCATCAGCACATGCACCATTGCACATGTGTGGAGGCCAGACGACAACTCGCTGAAGCCCCATCTCTCCCACAGCCACATGGGTCCTGGGGACTGAACTTGGGTGGTCAGCTTGGAGGCAAGCACCCTTACCCACTGAGCACTCTGGCCCCCACCCCAGCAACCCCACTGCCGTATCTCTGAGAAGTACGCTCACATGCTCTCTGTCTTCGGGTCTAAGACTGCCGTTCAGAACAGCTTACCTGGAGAAAGTAAGAAACGATGTCAAGGACGATGGTGATGATCTTCATGTCTGGAGCAGTGAGCAGATTTAGCAGCGGCTCCAGGACTCCTGAGTGCACAAGCATGCTCAACTGGCTCTGAGAGGCCCCTGTTGCGAAGTTTGCCACGGCCCACACAGCTTCCTTCTGGACCCTGAATTCTGCCTGCAAAGACAGGGGGTTTATGTTCTCTACAGTGCCAGGATCATCATAAAGGGATGCTGACTTGACTCGTGCTTTGTTGTTGTTTCTATACATTTTTGAGACAGGCTCTCATGTAGCCCAGGCTGGTCCCCAACTTGCTATAGAGACGAGGAGGACCTTGGACTTCTGGCCCTCCTACCTCCTCTTCCCAAATGCTGGCCTTACAATGAGAACCACCATGCCTGGTTTATGTGGTACCGACACTCGGTCCCAGGGCCTTGTGTATGGTTGGCGAGCACTCTACCAACAGAACCACACCTTAAGCTTTTAAAAATAGGGCTTCACAAGCTGCAGAGAAACCCTGTCTCAAAAAAAAAAATAGGGTTTCACTATATAGCCAAGGCCACCCTGGGACTATGTAGCCTAGGTAGGCCTTCAATTTATAATCCTTCTGTATGTTAGGACTACAGGTGTGTGCTCCAGACCTGGTTTAACTTGGTTTACTCTCCAGGACAGATGTAAGAGCTGAGCTTATATATGAAATTTATGTCCCATGCCCTGACAACCTGCCTTCAATTCATCAGAACACAGCATGTGAGCAGAACCATGAAGTAGGCAGACTGACTCCCACAGGACGCATTTTCTTAGACAGGGTCTCACCTGGCTCAGACTGGCTTTCCAAGCACAGTGTCGCCATGGAAGACCTTGAACCTTTGATTATCCTACTTCTCTCTCTTCATGAGAGTGCTGGGGATTGAACTCAGGTCCTCATGCTTGTACAACAGACTCTGTACAGACTCTCTCTCCCCGGCTCCGCCACTTACGTTTTTTAGTAGGGCTACCAATGGGGGCAGCAGGTTACACGTGATCAGTTGCTGGATGTGGTGTCTGGGCCCAGCAGCCACGTTGCTCACAGCCCAGGCAGCTTCCTTCTGGATGGAGGACTTTGGGTGTCTCAGGAGCTGACCCAGTACCTTCAGCATGCCAGCATCAATGGCCATCTGGGTCTGCAGATCTGTTCCTGTGACAATGTTACCCAATGTGCGGAGAGAAGGTGTCTGGAAGGACCAAGACAAACAGCTAAGTGTCACACAATGTGTCCCAATTCAGGAGTCACATGCTGAGTGCTGCGCCCAGTAATATCTGGAAGTTGTTGGGGTTTTATTCGGCCAGCATACCCGCAGCTGCTTTTACATAGTCTCAAGTACTTGTTTGTTTCCCAAAGGGTTCTGAGTCAAGGTGGCTAGATAAGGGAACTATGGGTAAATGATGGTATAGAGGGGGCTGGTGTGCAGCTACAGGTAGAGTGCTTGCCCAGCATGTGTGTAGTTCTGTGTATATAAACCTGGCATGGTGCTGCCCACCTGCAATCCCTGTGCGTGGGAGATGGAGTTAGGAGGTCCCAAAGTTCAAGGTCCTTCTTGGCTATATAATGAATTTAAGGCTAGCCTGGACAGATTCAATGCAATGCCCATCAAAATCCCAGCAAAATTCTTCAAAGACCTCGAAAGAACGGTACTCAACTTCATATGGAAAAGCAAAACACCCAGGATAGCCAAAACAATCCTGTACAATAAAAGAACTTCTGGGGGCATCACAATCCCTGACTTCAAACTCTACTACAGAGTTATAGTACTGAAAACAGCATGGTACTGGCATAAGAACAGACAGGAGGACCAGTGGAACTGAATAGAAGACCCAGATATCAATCCACATATCTTCAAACACCTGATCTTTGATAAAGAAGCAAAAAATATCAAATGGAAAAAAGAAAGCATATTTAACAAGTGGTGCTGGCATAACTGGATATCAACATATAGAAGAATGAAAATAGATCCATATCTATCACCATGCACAAAACTCAAGTCCAAATGGATCAAAGACTTCAACATAAAGCCAGCCACACTGAACCTTATAGAAGAGAAAGTGGGAAGTATACTTGAATGCATTGGCACAGGGAACCACTTCCTAAATATAACCCCAGCAGCACAGACACTGAGAGAAACAATTAATAAATGGGACCTCCTGAAACTGAAAAGCTTCTGTAAAGCAAAGGACATGGTCAACAAAACAAAATAACAGCCTACAGAATGGGAAAAGATCTTCACTAACCCCACATCAGACAGAAGTCTGATCTCCAAAATATACAAAGAACCCAAGAAATTGGACACTAAAAGATCACATAATTCAATAAAAAAAAATGGAGTACAGACCTAAACAGAGAACTCTCAACAGAGGAATCTAAAATGACTGAAAGACACCTAAGGAAATGCTCAACATCCTTAGTCATCAGAGAAATGCAAATCAAAACAACTCTGAGATTCCATCTTACACCTGTAAGAATGGCCAAGATCAAAAACACTGATGACAACTTATGCTGGAGAGGTTGTGGGGAAAAGGGAACACTTCTGCATTGCTGGTGGGAATGCAAGCTGGTACAACCTCTTTGGATGTCAGTGTGGCGATTTCTCAGAAAATTAGGAAACAACCTTCCTCAAGACCCAGTAATACCACTTTTGGGTATATATCCAAAGGATGCTCCATCGTGCCACAAGGACATGTGCTCAACTATGTTCATAGCAGCTTGTTTGTCATAGCCATAACCTGGAAACAACCTAAATGCCCCTCAACCGAGAATGGATAAGGAAAATGTGGTACATTTACACAATGGAGTACTACACAGCAGAAAAAAATAACCACAGTTTGAATTTTGCAGGAAAATGGATGGAGCTAGAAAACATTATTTTGAGTGAGGTAACCCAGACACAGAAAGACAATTATCACATGTACTCACTCATAGGTGGGTTTTAAATATAAAGTAAAGAAAGCCAGCCTACAAAGCATAATCCCAGAGAACTTAGACAACAATGAGGACACTAAGAGAGACTTACATAGATCTAATCTACATGGGAAGTAGAAAGTGTAAAAAGACAAGATCTCCTGAGTAAATTGGGAGCATGGGGACCTTGAGGGAGGATTAAAGGGGGAGGGGAGAGGCAGGGAGGGAAGCAGAGAAAAATGTAGAGCTCAATAAATATCAATAAAAAATATATTAAAAAAAAAGGCTAGCCCGGACTATGTGAAACTCTGCTTTAAAAAAAAAAAATCTGCTGTCCTGTTTTTGTTTAGGCATTTTGAGACAGGGCCTCTCGTGTAAATTCAAGTTGGTCTTGAATTCATTATGTAGCCAAGGACACCAAGCTTTTGATCCTCTTGCCTTTTTCTGGAGAAAAGGTCTCACCTCACACTGGTTTCAAACTCAGTAGTTAGCCGAGGATGACCCTGAGCTTCCTGATCCTCCTGTCGCCTCCCCCCACCCTCTAGTGCAGGGAGTATAAGTGTGCTCCACATCCACAGAACTGGGGATGGAACCCAGAGCTTCCTGAGTGCTGGGCGAGCCCTCTATATACTGAGCACACATCCCTATCCCTGGCCTTGAACTCACAATCCTCTCAGGGGAGTTGACTATGGAATGGCTCTCTTAGTGCTGCAGCGGCAGCCCCCAGTGAAGGCTCTCAAGAGTGCCAGGTTTCCGCTATCAGGCTAGCCTGCCACTCACCTGAGGGGACAGCCTTGTCCAGATAATACCAACTGGGCCTCAGCACTTCTATTATAAGTTGCTTCCCTGGAAAGGTGAGATAGCTCAGTGGATAAAGGTGCCTTGTAGTCTCAGGCCTGCTGATGGAATCTGGATTCCCTGGGCCCACGTGGTGAAGAGAGAATCGACTCCTGAAACTTGTCCTCTGCCCTCCACACATGCATCGTGGTATATGCTCACCCCACACATAATAAATACATAAGTGCTTAAAGGTGATTTTTTTTCCTTCATGGAGCCCAGGCTAGCCTCATATTTATGATCCTTCTTTCAGCCTCTTAAGTGCAGTTATAAGCATCCAACAGCAGACCTGGCTGCTTCTCTCCTGATATTCTTCACTCTCCCTGCCCCCTGTCCCTGCCCCCAAACTCATTTTGTCATCTGGAAAACACTATGGTAATCTCAGAAAGGAAGCCACTAAAGATGTGTGTGATACAATAAAAATACAGTGGTTGAGAGGGGTCAAGGTAGTGAAGCCAGACACAGTGGTAGAAGAGATAGTGCCAGCACTGGGAAGGTAGAGACAGAGGATCACAGGTCTGGGGTTCTCAGCTGGGGACTGAGGTCCAGGCCAGCTTGGGCTACATAAGACTCTCTCTCTCTAAAAAATAAAAAAATAAAAAAAAATAAAAAAAAACAGCCAGCATGGTGCTAGACGCCTTTCATTCCCACATTCAAGAGGCAGAGGCAAATAGATCTGTGAGTGTGATGTCAGGTCTACATAATGGAGTCCAGGCCAACCAGGGCTACATAGTGAGACCCTATCTTGTCTGTCTCTGTGAGTCAGTCTCTCTCTGTGTCTGTCTATCCCTCTCTGTGTGCTTGTGTCTGTCTCTGTGTGAGTATGTCTGTTTGTGTATCTATCTGTCTCTGTGTGTGTCTGCCTGCTATCATTGTCTTCTATCTCTGTCTGTCTGTGTGTGTGTCTGTGTGTCTCTGTGTATGTCTATCTGTCTGTATTTCTCTGTGTGTCGTCTGTCTCGGAATATGTGTCTCTCTCTGCGTGTCTCTGTCTCTCCGCATGTGTCTGTGTGTGTCTCTATGTCTGTCTGTCTCTCTGTCTGTCTGTCTGTCTCTCTGTCTGTCTGTCTCTCTGTCTGTCTGTCTCTCTGTCTGTCTGTCTGTCTCTCTGTCTGTCTGTCTGTCTCTCTGTCTGTCTGTCTGTCTCTCTGTCTGTCTGTCTGTCTCTCTGTCTGTCTGTCTGTCTCTCTGTCTCTGTCTGTCTCTCTGTCTCTGTCTCTCTCTCTGTCTGTCTCTCTCTCTGTCTCTCTGTCTGTCTGTCTCTCTGTCTGTCTGTCTCTCTGTCTGTCTGTCTCTCTGTCTGTCTGTCTCTCTGTCTGTCTGTCTCTCTGTCTGTCTGTCTCTCGCTCTTGTCTCTCGCTCTTGTCTCTCGCTCTTGTCTCTCGCTCTTGTCTCTCGCTCTTGTCTCTCGCTCTTGTCTCTCGCTCTTGTCTCTCGCTCTTGTCTCTCGCTCTTGTCTCTCTGTCCGTCTCTCTGTCCGTCTCTCTGTCCGTCTCTCTCCATGTCTCTCTGTCCGTCTCTCTCCATGTCTCTCTGTCCGTCTCTCTCCGTGTCTCTCTGTCCGTCTCTCTCCGTGTCTCTCTGTCCGTCTCTCCCCGTGTCTCTCTGTCCGTCTCTCCCCGTGTCTCTCTGTCCGTCTCTCCCCATGTCTCTCTGTCCGTCTCTCCCCATGTCTCTCTGTCCGTCTCTCCCCATGTCTCTCTGTCCGTCTCTCCCCATGTCTGTCTGTCCGTCTCTCCCCATGTCTGTCTGTCCGTCTCTCCCCATGTCTGTCTGTCCGTCTCTCCCCATGTCTGTCTGTCCGTCTCTCCCCATGTCTGTCTGTCCGTCTCTCCCCATGTCTGTCTGTCCGTCTCTCCCCATGTCTGTCTGTCCGTCTCTCCCCATGTCTGTCTGTCCGTCTCTCCCCATGTCTCTCTGTCCGTCTCTCCCCATGTCTCTCTGTCCGTCTCTCCCCATGTCTCTCTGTCCGTCTCTCCCCATGTCTCTCTGTCCGTCTCTCCCCATGTCTCTCTGTCCGTCTCTCCCCATGTCTCTCTGTCCGTCTCTCCCCATGTCTCTCTGTCCGTCTCTCCCCATGTCCGTCTCTCTCCATGTCCGTCTCTCTCCATGTCCGTCTCTCTCCATGTCCGTCTCTCTCCATGTCCGTCTCTCTCCATGTCCGTCTCTCTCCATGTCCGTCTCTCTGTCTTCCCCTCTCTGTCTCTGTGTCTTTGTCTCTCTCTATATCTGTCTCCCTCAACTCTCTCCTCTCTCTCTCTCTCTCTCTCTCTTTCTCTCTATCTATCTTTCTCTCTCTCTGTCTTTGCCTTTCTAGCCCCCGCTCTGTCTCTCCCTCTTGGCTTCTGACCCTCCTGGTCCCTGCCTCACCCTGGCCTCTGCCTCCTCTTCCCTCTTCTTTCTTCCCCCCTTCTTTCTCTGTGCATGGCTCTCTGTCCCTCTCCACTTCTGTTTCTCTGTTTTACACACACACACACACACACACACACACACACACACACACACGTGGGGGGGAGGGGAAGAAAAGAGAGAAAAACCAACTTGCTCAAGTTAAAATCAGTAGAATAGTAAGAAAATATGATGTAAGAGATATCCCTGGGTGGTAGGGTTCTGAGCAGTTCACTTGCTGCTCCTCAGGTGGAGAAAACCTAAGTTCTTTAACTCCTGCTAGGATCTGAGATGGAAGCTTAACTAAGGGCTTAGTGAGAAAGTCTCAAAGAGCAGTGACTTACAGGTAACAAGCTGGATTTCAGGGAAGGGTTAGAATTGAAGGAAGACCTGGGGTGGAAGTGGGGATGATACAGAAGACCTGGGGTGGGAGTGGAGATGATACAGAAGACCTGGGGTGGGAGTGGAGATGATACAGAAGACCTGGGGTGGGAGTGGAGATGATACAGAAGACCTGGCGTGGGAGTGGAGATGATACAGAAGACCTGGGGTGGAAGTGGGGATGATACAGAAGACCTGGGGTGGGAGTGGAGATGATACAGAAGACCTGGGATGGGAGTAGAGATGATACAGAAGACCTGGGGTGGGAGTGGAGATGATACAGAAGACCTGGGGTGGGAGTAGAGATGATACAGAAGACCTGGGGTGGGAGTAGAGATGATACAGAAGACCTGGGGTGGGAGTAGAGATGATACAGAAGACCTGGGGTGGGAGTAGAGATGATACAGAAGACCTGGGGTGGGAGGTGGGGATGATACAGAAGACCTGGGGTGGGAGTAGAGATGATACAGAAGACCTGGCGTGGGAGTAGAGATGATACAGAAGACCTGGGGTGGGAGTAGAGATGATACAGAAGACCTGGCGTGGGAGTAGAGATGATACAGAAAACCTGGGGTGGGAGTAGAGATGATACAGAAGACCTGGGGTGGGAGTAGAGATGATACAGAAGACCTGGGGTGGGAGTAGAGATGATACAGAAGACCTGGGGTGGGAGATGGGGATGATACAGAAGACCTGGGGTGGGAGTAGAGATGATACAGAAGACCTGGGGTGGGAGGTGGGGATGATACAGAAGACCTGGGGTGGGAGTAGAGATGATACAGAAGACCTGGGGTGGAAGTGGGGATGATACAGAAGACCTGGGGTGGGAGTAGAGATGATACAGAAGACCTGGGGTGGGAGTGGAGATGAGAACCTAATATGCTGAATTTGACTCATAGGATCTAATCTGTTTTTGTCTTTTGAGACATGATACTACATAGTCCAGGTTAGTCTTGAACTCACTGTGCAGCCAAGCATGACCTTGAATTCTATCTTTCCTGCCTCCATCCTCCCAGTGCCAAGATTTAGGCATGTTCTACCAGTCTAGTTTCTATGGTGCTAGGGATAGAACCAGGGCTTTGGGTTTGCTGAGCAAGCACTCTGAACTGAAGTCATGGCACCCACAAACTCTAGTCTGAAGCCTCTTGCAAAGACATTTACCAAGACAATGAGTTCTGAGCTGGTCATGAGCTCTACGAGCCTGGGCAGGACACCCGTGGACACCACATGATGGATGCGCTCATTGTGGCCCTCTGTGAGGTAGGACAGGGCCCAACAGGTGTCTGAGAGGATTTCGTTGTCATGATGCTGAAGGAGCCGAGAGAGGGCAGGCAGCATCTGCAGCACGGCCTGCTCGCAAGGGTAGGGATTCTTGTTTCGGCACAGGTTGGACAAAGTCCACGCAATGTTCCGAAGAAATGTGATCTGTGATGGGGTGCAAAGGAGACAAAATGTAAATGCTGGAGTGCCCTTTCCATCCCGATCAATACTATTGATTAGTGCAGACCAAAGCTTTTGAACATCAAAATGAACTCATTTCAGGCAGTAATATGTGTGGGGGCAAATACAATGAGCTTTATGTTTAAATATTTAAAAGTCTATGAAGGTTCTTTGTATTCTTCACAATGCCTTTCCCCACTCTACTCAGCATATGGCTTGTTTTAAGATTTTATTTTTATTCATGTGTATAGTCAAGTGTCTGTGTTTGGACGTGAGCATGTGTGTACAAGTGCATGTGTGTACACATGCTCACAGAGGCCAGAAGACAGAATGGATCCCCTGCCCCCTGGAGCTGGGGTTACAGGCAGTTGCAATCCACCTGACAAGGGTGATGGGAACTGAACTCAGGTCCTATGCAGGGGCAGCAGGTGCCCTTAACTGCTGAGCCATCTCTCACCGGTCCCCTGGCTTAATGGTTTAACATTGTTATCATTTGTGTAAGTACACATATGCCTATGTCACGACACACATGTGGAGGTCAAGAAGATAACCTCACCTTCTATTTTCACCTTGTTTGAGACAGGGTCTCCGTGTTTCACTCTTTGGGTTTGTGCACACCAGGCTTGCTAGTCCGCAAACTTCCAGAGATTCTCCTGTTTCCACCTCCCACTTCACTGTCTAAATACTAGAATTACAGGTGTGTGCTAATGAACCTGGCATTATGTGGGTTCTTGGGATTTGAACTCAGGTCCTCACACTTGCACAGTGAGTACTTTATGCACTGAGCCATCTGTCTCCCAGCCCTTGATCTCATTTTTACTGCCAAAAAATATATTAAGCAACTGAGAGCAGATACACATATCTATAATCTCAGCCATGGTGGAAGCAGACAGACTGTGAATTTGAGGCTGACAGGTTGCTTAGAGTTCAAAGCCAGCCTAAGATACATGAAGACTACGTCACAAACAAACTCGGGAATTATTTAGTCTTCTTGCCATCTGTAACTCTACTAGCCTCCATAAAAATTCGTATAATATTATATGGAGTTAGCAATTGAGCCCAGGGTCCTGTGTATGCTAAACAAGCATGCTACCATTGAGCTACATCCTTTTCCCTTTGTTTGTTTATTTTTTTTTGTTGTTGTTGTTTTTATCTGTGGATCCCTGGACTCACACTGTAGACCAGGCTGGCCATGAACTCGAAGATCTGCCTGCCTCTGCCTCCCAACTGCTGATATTAAAGACATGTGTCAGCCGGGCGGTGGTGGTGCACGCCTTTAATCCCAGCACTGGGGAGGCAGAGGCAGGCAAATCTCTGTGAGTTTGAGGCCAGCCTGGTCTACAAGAGCTAGTTCCAGGACAGAAACCAAAAAGCTATGGAGAAACCCTGTCTCAAAAATAAAAAAAAAAAGGCATGTGTCACCATTACCTGGGTCCTTTTTTCAAAATTATTTTTATTTGTGCATGTATGTGTGTATATATGTCATTTAAACATAGGTACCTATGGAGGCCAGAAGAGGATATCCAAATTCCCTGGAGTTGAAATACTGTTGTGAGCTACCTAATGTGCCTGCTAGAAGCTGAATTCAGGTCCTCTGGTGTTGACAGAGGTTTCTGTCCCATCCAGTCCCTCAGCCGTTCAATTCACAGAAACATACAGAAGCTTATGTTAATTATAAACTGGTTGGTCTATTAGCTCAGGCTTCTTACTAACTCTTACATCTTACATTAACCCATAATTTTTGTCTGTGTTAGCCACGTGGCTTGGTACCTTTTATCAGTAAGACATTCTCATCTTGCTTCCTCTGCATCTGGGTGATGACTGCAGACTGAGCCTTTCCTCTTTCCAGAATTTTCCTGTTCTGGTGGCCCCACCTATACTTCCTGCCTGACTACTGGCCAATCAGCATTTTACTAAACCAATATAAGTGACAAATCTTTACAGGGTACAAGACCATTGTCTCCCAGCACTCTGGAAGAACAGTGAGAGCTCTTGACCCCTGAGCCATCTCTCCGGTTCCATCTCTAGTCCTTTAAACTTTTTATTTTGAGACCTGGTGCTGCTAGTTTGCCCAAGCAGCCCTTAAACTTGAGATCCTTCTGCCTCAGCCTCCCAAATAGCAAGGACTCCAGACCTGCTCTATTATGTCCAGCCACACCCATCTTCTTTCTCTTCTTTTTCTTTCCTTGTTTCTTTTGGGACAGGGTTTTACCATAGAGCTCAGGCAGCTTCAAAGATGAATTTATTGCATTTGTGTTTGTGAGTGTGCTTGTGCCATGATGTCCTGCAGGAGTCTGTTCTCCCTTTCTACCATGTGGATTCTGAGGGTTGAACTCAGGTCCTTAGGCTTGGTGGCAGGCACCTTTGCCCATTGAGCATTTTGTCAGCTCAGGCCTCAGACCCTTAACAGCCCTCCTTCCTTAGCCTCCTCAGAGAGCCCCATGCTCAGTCATATTTCTGATCTCGTGAGATCATTCTTCAGAACTGCCCTGGATCTCATCACTTTCTCTCCTAAACATTCTGCCCTAGGGACCCAGTGATCAGTGTGGAAACAGAACCCAAAACCATCAACCCCTGGACATCCAATCTCCCATGGATAACCTTCCAGCCACTACCCCACTCTTATTCATCAGAGCAGACAAGGCAGGGAAGCTCTGGGCTGACCTTTAGGTTCACTCTGCAGCCCAGTCTGACCTTGAACTTGCAAACCTGCCACAGCTTGAGTGCTGGGATCACCTGTGTATACCACCGTGTCCAGCTTTCTACCTGATGTCGAACAGTTGAAGCCCAACGGTCTGACCCCAGGGCCTCTTCTCAATCTAGGCCAGGGCGTTGGCAGTGTTTTTCATAGTCACGCAATGACAGGTTTTAGCCTGTCTCGAATGGTTCCTTTGTAAGTAGTCGAATATGTCCTCTTGGGCTAGACTTGTGGCTTAGTTAGTAGAGTGCTTGCCTAGTGTGATTCAAACCCTGGGTCCCATCCCCGTACCACATAAACTTGGTGTGGTGGTGTACACCTGTAATCCGACCACTAATAAGATGAGAGAGAGACAGGGAGATCAGAGTTCATGATGCCTGACATGTGAGACTCTGTCTCAAAAGAAGAAAAAAAAGTCAAGGACCAGCAAGATGGCTCAGCAGGTAGAGACACTTGTCACCAAGTGGGACAACTTGAGTTCAATCCCTTGATCTCCATAATAGGAGAAAAATTGTACCCTACAAGTGCATATGTGCACATGCGAGTGTGCACACAATAAATGAAATGCCATTAAGTAAATGAATAAATAAACAAATACACTCACTGGTATGTTTGTTGAGATAAGATGGAGCAGTTTTGGGATGGCATTGTTGGAGATGATATTGTCTCTGAATTTTGGGCCGTCACCTATGAGAGGAAGAGAGCATAAGATGAAAGATCTGGGCACACACCTTTGAACCCAACATTCAGGAAGCAAAAGCAGGTTGATCTCTGTGAGTTCAAGACCAGCCCAGTCTACATAGTGAGTTACAAGCCAGCCTGGGCTACATCTCAATCCACTCTCCCCAAAAAGTGCTCAAGGAGAAATCAATATTGGGTATCTAACTTTTGAAGTTTATTCTTAATGAGGCTAGAGAAATGGCTCAGTGGTTAAGGGTATATATACTGTTCTTATCGTGCACGTGCTTGGTTTCCAGCACCAAAGCTCACAATCGCCTATAACGCCAACTCCAAGAAGATCTGACTCTCTCTTTTGGCCTCACTGGGCACCTGTATTCACATGCACACATTGATACACAGACATAGATATACATACAAGAAAATCTTTTTAAAAATTTATTCCTAATCCAGTTCAATAGCTCAGTGGAAAAGGCACTTAGAGCTAAGCCTGATGAACCTGAGTTCAATTCCCGGGACCCACGTGGTGGAAGGAAGAGCCAAATCTTGAAAGTTGTCTTCTGAGACCGCTGCATGTGATCCGTGACCCCCACACCCGCACCCACCTCAAATAAGTGAGTGTAATCTTTTAAAGTTTATACAGAGAATGAGAGATGAAAACTCAGTTTGGGGTATTTGGCAAGTAGTAGGAATGGCTGTATACTGGATCCTGGGTTTCCTAACTGTCTGGGGGTGAGTGTACATGCCCAACGCCTCAAGTAGGCACCACACTGCTGCAGCTATTCTAAGCAGAGGTCCTGGACACAAAATGAAGACAGCCAGCTTTGCCTAAGTAGCCCGTTGTAAACCCTAGCTGCATCCATGGCTCTCAGAAGACGGACACTGGTAGGAAAAACTATTTTCCCAAAGAATGTTGGCAAGGGGCGTTCATTTCCAAATGAATTCAGAACAAACTCTGGGCTTCATAGAGGGAGGAGATCAGCCATGAGCATTTTTCCCTGTCTGCTATTTTTTTTTTTTGAGATGGGGGTCTCATATGTTGTCCTGGCTGGCCTGAACTCAGAGATCCACCTGCCTCTGCCTCTGGAGTGTTGCAATGAAAGGTAAGTGCTACCATGCCTACACACTTACTATTTATTTATTTTTTGACAAGGGCTCACTATGTGGCCCAGACTGGCTGGCCTCAAACCTCCAGAGATCCACTTGCCTCTGCCTCCCAAGTATTGGAATTAATAAATATGCCCCTTCATGTCTGGCCAATTTTTTTTTTTGCTTGCTTGTTTGGGGGGATTTTTGTTGTGTGTGGTGTTTTGTTTTGCTTTGTTTTTGTAAGCTAGTGTCTTGATATATATCTGGTACTTGCCTCAAACTCATCATGAAGTCTAGATTGGTCTTCAACTCCTTACTGTCCTGCATCAACCTTACCTAGTCTTTAATATATAAACTATTTTTTAATATGTGTGCATGTGTGTGTACGTATAAGTGTGTGAGTATGCGTGTAGGTATGCATGTGTGTGTATATGTTTGTGTGCTCAAACCAGCGTACATAGGGAGGTAAAGAGGACATTTTGTAAAAGTCATTTCTGTCTTTTTATAATGTAGGATTTGAGGCTAGAACCCAGGCAGGTCATCAGACTTGGTGACAGGTGCCTTTTGCCCACTGAGTCATCTTACTGGTCCTTAATAAACCAACCTTTTCATTTTCAAATTTATTTTTATTATATGGGTGTGTTTTGCCTGCATATATGCATATGTGCCATGTGTTTGCCTGGTACCTGAGGAGGCCAGAAGAGCGCATCCGACCCCCTAGAACTGTGGTTACAGGTGACCCTGAACTGCCACACGGGTGCTGGAAAGTGAGCCCAGATCTTCTGCAAGACCAGCTAGTGCTCTTAAACTACAGAACTATCTCTCCAGCCCATTTGTTCTTTGAGGCAGGGTCTCACTATGTAGTTCCAGCTGTCCTGGTTAGCCTCAAATTCAGCGAGTAGCCAAGGGTGTCCTTGAACTCCTGATCCTCCTGCCTCCACCTTCCAAGGGCTGGGATCAGAGATGTGCACCAACATGCTCAGTCTTTTATAGTCCTAGGATGAAACCCAGAGTTTCCTGCATGCTAAGCAAACACCCTACCAAGCAAGCTACATATCCTCAGCCCTAGTGTTTGAATGCGACACCAAGAAGTCTCAGTTTGTGCCACTAACTGGATAAACCTAAGTCATACCTACGGCTCCGTCTTCTGTTGACGCATTGGAAAAATCCCCACCACTGTCTTAGCTGTGAGCCTTACTGAAGCATTTTCAAAGTGGTTGTTTTGCTAGGTGGTGGCGGTGCACACCTTTAATCCCAGCACTCAGGAGACAGAGGCAGGAGGATCTCTGAGTTCAAAGCCAGTATGGTCTACAGAGCAAGTTCCAGAACAACCAGAACTAAAATAAGAAAAAGAAAAAAAAAAAGACCATCAAAGTGGTTGTTTTCTATTCTCTCAGCCAATTCAGGCTCTGAAGTCCCTGGAAACCTATGTGCTGACTCAGTTTTCTCTGAACTCAAAAACTACTAATGTTTGCTTTGTTTTAACTTGTCAAAATCCCGTGGGGCCCAACTGAGCTCTCCCCCAGATGACATTTGTAATTGTTTTTCCAGGAATCTGGGGTCTCCAACTCTTTAGCACTCACTCCCTTCCTGTGTTTTCCCAGGCCACACTGGGCTTTTCGGGGAAAACAGCTCATTCCAAGCTAAGGAAGTTCTGTCTCTCCATCTCCATGTATGTTATCTGCATCTATGTACCTATGCATGTGCACACACACATGCACACACATGCACGCACACACATGCACGCACACAGACGCCTACCTTAGTGAGTTTTACAGATGATACAGGTTTCTGTGGCCCTGGATTGTGTAAGATTAAACCCATACTGCATGGGCCACAGGCTTACTTTTATTTCATTTTGAGACAGGGTCTCATGTAGGCCAGGTTAGCTTCAAACTCGCTGTAAAGAATAACCTTGAACTTCTGACCCTCCTGTCCTTACCTCCTAAGTGCTGGGATTTTAGATGGAAACCACTATTTCTGGCTTATGGGATGATGGTGGAACCTTGGGCTCTACAATGCTATTTTTCCCAGACTACTTTGGTCTTAACTTCTAATTTTTTTTGAGACAGGGCCTTGCCATTTACCTGGCTGACCTGGAACTCATTTGGTAGACCAGGTTGGCCTTTAACTCAGAATGATACTGTCACTTGTCTGCTAAGTGCTGGGATTATAAACTTGTATCACTATGCCTGGGTTTGTGTTGGTTTCATATTTGTGTGTGTGTGTGTGTGTGTGTGCGCGCGCGCGTGCGCGCGCATGTGCGCGCACGCATGCATACTGATAGAAGCCAGAGGTCAATGTTGAGTGTCTTAGTGTCTTCCTTAATCACTCTTCACTTTTTTTTTCCTTTCTAGATGTGATCTCTTACTGAACCAGGAGTTCACTGATTTATCTGGAGTAGCTGGCAAGCAAACCCCAGGGATCAACCTGTCTCCACTCCTCTAGAGTTGGGATTATAAACAAGCCACCGTACTGGTTGGGGACCAAACCTGGTCCTCATACTTGTTCCTAACCCTTGCTGTAACTTCAACCAGTGTCTCCCGGACCCCAGGCTGACCTCAAATAATGACACTTGAGAGGTGGAGCCAGGAAGACAGGTGTGTTAGAATTACAGCCAAGCACCACTGCATGTACCTCTGAGACTTATCCTTGCTCCAGAAGCCATTAAGGTCTGAGGCTGTAGGACCTGGGCTCAGGAGACATTTCTAGGCAGCTTCTCACTTAGGTTTGTGCTGCATCACCTATTCTGCCTCCATTCTCAGCCTCTGACCCTGGTTCTGGGTTTTGAACCCACTCATTCCCTGGCACAAGGTATTCAAAATGGCGTGAGAATGGGTGCCAAGACATCAAGCGTAACAGAAAAGTCCGCCCCCCAACATGTCCCCCCGCCCCAGCATGTCCACCAAGAAAAGTGTCTTACCGGCTATATTACCAAGTGCCCACACTGCCTGCTCACACACGGCCAGGTGGGAGGAAGACAAGAGTTCAATCAAGGGATGAATGGCACCCCCTTCCACAACAGCTCGGGTCTGCTCTGAAGTTCCTGAGGCAATGTTGGTGAGAGCCCACGCCGCCTCGAACTGCAGAACGGGGAGAGGTGCCGCCTTCAGGAACTCTACCAGCTTGGGGATGAGCCCTGCCTCAATAACCAGTTTTAGAGGAGGGTTCTTCTCCTGCGACAGCATTTTCCTGTGCAGTGAGGCAGAGAGTGAGGAGAGTCACAGGCGTGTGTGCGGAGAAACTGCTTTTTAAGGCGCTCTTAGCATTGCATTCCTAAATATGTTTCTTTTTCTTTTTTTTTTTTTGTTTTTTTTTTTTTGAGACAGGGTTTCTCTGTAGCTTTGGAGCCTGTACTGGAACTAGCTCTTGTAGCCCAGGCTGACCTAGAACTCAGAGATCCACCTGCCTCTGCCTCCTGAGTGCTGGGATTAAAGGCGTGCGCCACCACTGCCCAGCCTACTATGTTTTTTTAAATACTACAAGATGAACCCAGGACCACATACATGCTAGGCAGGTGGGCTTCTATAAGCCATACCCCTAACACCTCATTGGGGAATCCTAGACAAGTGTTCTACCACTGAGTCACACCCCAGCCCCTCACTGGGGGATTCTAGGCAGAGGCTCTACCACTGAGTCACACCCCAGCCCCTCACTGGGGGATTCTAAGCAGGGGCTCTACCACTGAGTCACACCCCAGCCCCTCACTGGGGGATTCTAAGCAGGTGCTCTAACACTGAGTCACACCCCAGCCACTCACTGAGGGATTCTAGGCAGATGTTCTACCACTGAGCCACTGAGCCACACCCCAGTCCCTCCCTGGGAGATTCTAGTCAAGGTCCCTATCACTGAGCCACACCCCAGCCCCTCCCTGGGGAATTCTAGGCAGGTGCTCTACTTCTGAACTAAAACCCCAAGCCTTAGCCATCAGATACAGAGCTGAATAGGGCCATTGTTAATTCTGCAACACTTTGCAGTAGTCCCAAAGCAACATCTTGCCCTTCAGGTATTATCTGTGAGCTAAAGTCCCTGCAGAGACCAATGTAAATTAAGCAATCCATCTCTGACAACACACTGCATTTCTTAAGTTGCCCTCAAGGACAAAGAAGCATAGTAATCACCTTCTGCTTTTGGAAGAAGTAGCCTTTTTCTGCATTGTATGGGCATTTTGCCAAAATCCAGTAAATTCAACAGGCTACTGGAGCTCATTTCTAGCTATAAAACTACAAATACCAGAAGTCTGCATGGGGATACCTGGCAGCCTGGGTGGCCATGAGACACAGCATTGGATCTGAGCTATTCACACCTTTGATTATGTCTTCCAGAGTGAGGTTGGCCTGCTAGGAAAAAAACAAAACAAAACATATTCAGGTCAAAAGAAAGCACAGGGCCAACAAATGGCTCAGAGGGTAAAGGCATTCGCTGCCAGTTTGATACCCAAAACCTACTAAGTGAAGAAAGCTGACTCTCGTCAATTGTCCCGACATCTGTGTGTACACATGGCTACACACACACACACACACACACACACACACACACACACACACAGAGAGAGAGAGAGAGAGAGAGAGAATATAAAATAAATGTAATAAAAATAAGGAAAGTATAAGCATCACCTAGCTTAGTCATCCACCTGACGTGACCAGATGTCCATGGTGCTCCCACCTCTATCCTGAGGCAGGGAGGGATATTTGCTACCCATAGGTAAGAGGTCAAAGTGGGACATTTTCCCTGCTTACGACAGGGTGATCCTGTTACACTCGGCAGCTTCCTAAAAAAAATCGTACGTGTGTGTTTATGTATGTGTGTGTGCACGCATGTGCACACCTAGAATAGCAGGTTCCCAAAGAGGCTAGAGACATCTAACCCCCTGAAGCTGAAATTACTGGTTGTTTTAAGCTGGCTGACATGGTTACTAGGAACCAAACTTGGATCTTTTGTGAAATCATCAAGTACTCTTAACTTTTGTGCCAGTTCTTCGCCCACCTAGCACATTAAGATTTTATTCATATGAGTGCAGAAGGGGTTTTGTTGCTATTTTGTGGGGAGGAGATGGCTGACAGTATGTATGTCTGTGTACCCTGTATTCACCGCCATGAAGGGCAAAAAGAGCTTTGAATCCTCCTGCATCTGAAGTTACTGATGGTTGTGAACCACCATGTGGGTGCTAAAATTACACTTGGGTCCTCCAAATAAATAGCCAGCCTGTGCTCATACCACTGAGACACCTCTCCAGTCCCCTAAGCATCTATTTATCACAGGTAATAAGAAAATGCTAGGCTGGAGAGATGGCTCAGAGGTTAAGAGCACTAGTAGTTCTTCCATAGGTTCTGAGTTCAATTCCCAGCAACCACATGGTGGCTCATAACCATCTGTAATGAGATCTGGTACCCTCTTCTAGCATGGAGGTGTACATGCAAGAGGAACATTGTATATACAATAAATAAACAAATCTTTAATAAAAGAAAGAAAGAAAATGGCCAGTGAAGGGCTGAGGTGTAACACAGTGATTGCATGCTTGCCCAGGAAGCACAAGGCCTGGGGTTCAATTTCCAGAGGACAGAAAGTGTGGAGGGGCAAAGTAGGGAAATAGAGGGGGGAAAAAGAGAAAGGGAGAAGGGGGAGGAAAAAGAGGAAGGACAGACAAAGGTTGGGAAGAAGGGAAAGAGAGAGAAGGGGAAGGAAGGAGAGAAGGGGGAATAAAAAGAAGAGAAAGGGAGGAAGCCAGAAGACAGACAAGGAGGAGTAAATGTACGGGGGAAAGCCAGGGAAGGTTCAAAGTTTCCTTCTTCTGTAAAAGAGAGAACCAAGAAGAGCAAAGCATGCAGGAGAAGGGAAAGACGAGCACCAGGTTCAGAGACTGGGGAAACAGGAGGGGCCAGCAGATCGCAAGCCTTGTGAAAGCCAGAAGGATTGAGAGAGACCCCAGGCCAGTAAGGTCAGAAAAAGGAATGAGATTGATTCTACACTTATACAAATAAAATCAGGTGCACACCTTAACTACCAGCACTCAGGAGGCAGAAGCAGGCAGATCTCTGTGAATTCAAGACCAGCCTGGCCTACAAAGTAAATTCTAGAACAGTCAGAGTTACACAGAGAAACCCTGTGTCTCAAAATACAAAACAAATTAGATAGATAGATAGATAGATAGATAGATAGATAGATAGATAGATAGATATCAAGCCAAAGGGAAAGCAAGCAAACAACAACAACAAAAACCAGAATCCAACAAGTTAAATAATGCAGGTGAAATAGGTAATTTCGAGCAATACACCACCAAAACAGACAAGAGAGAAAACCTGGAGAAGAGGATCAGTGAGTAAAACGCTTGCAAAGCAAACACAAGACCTTGAGTTCAGATCCCTCCACTCACTAACATCAATGGGAGATCCTAGGCAGATGCTCTACCACTGAGCCACACCCCAGTCCCTCACTGGGGAATTCTAGGCAGGGGCTCTACCACTGAGCCACACCCCAGCCCCTCACTGGGGAATTCTAGGCAGGGGCTCTACCACTGAGCCACACCCCAGCCCTTCACTGGGGAATTCTAGGCAGGGGCTCTACTAAGCCACACCCCCATCCTATTCCTTTCTTTGAATTAAACAGCAAGCTCTGACTCTATTAGGCCTTCTCATCTAGAGATACTAACCAAGGCTATATATATCCTATACAGGATGGCCTTCGCACTGAGTTCTAACACACCTCTTTGACTGTTGAACAGTTGGAGAACTGGCTGATATTTCTTCTTTTTAAGACCTGCTCATCTTTCTTGGCCTTTCGGAGTTGCAAGTTGGTGGCAATCCTCTGCTGTCGCCTTGCCTAATGAAGAAGACAAATAATTGGAGTTGATATACCCAGGTTGCTGGAGAAGCAGGACGTTATCCCGTTAGGGTTTTTTTTTTTAATTTTTTACAGGTGTTTTGCTTGCATGTATGTCCGTGCACTCTGTGTGTGTGTGTGTGTGTGTGTGTGTGTGTGTATGTGTGTGTGGTTCCTGCAGAGGCCAGAAGATGGCGCTAGATCTCAGACTGGCCCTACATACCATGTAGGTGTCAAGAGTTGAACCTGGGTCCTCTTGAAGAACAGACAGTGATCTTAACCACTCTGCTATCTCTCCAAGCCTCTTGTTTTGTAAGTTTAATTTTACTTATTATATGTGTGGAGGTCAGAGGACAACTTGCAGGAGCCAGTTCTCTCCTTCCACTCTCTGGGTTCCTGGATGGAACTCAGGCCATCTGGTTTGCAAGGCATTTGTAGCCATCTCATTGACATGTTATTCTGTTCGGTTTTTTTGTTTTCAAATGGGCTTTCCCTTCTACTGTGTATCCCAGGCTGGTCTCAAACCCTAAAATCCTCCTGCCTCAGCCTGTATTGTAATAACAAGTGTGTGGCATTACACCCAGCTCACACTTCATCAGCGAGGCACTTCCACTGTAGTCCCTTGTTATTGCTTCTCAGTTTATACTCACAGACATATCTCTGCCGCAGTACTTAAACTTTTTCAGCCTTTCTTCAGGAGCTTCTAAGGTAGGCATGTTGACTGGAGGAAAGAAAGCACATATTGGTAGGAAAATTAGCAAAGAGATCAGCATTGCCCAGTGTGCACACCACTATGTTCAAGTCATCAGTTACTATGGGACAGAGAGCAAACTCGAGGAGTCGGGCGCCAATGTGGTGCATGTACTCTTATCAACAGGCCGTGGTTACTATGGGAACACTGCAGGAACTTAGTCCTGGCCTCACTACAGAAAACCCTTACAAAGTAGGCTGGGCTGTAGCTCAGTTGGTAGAGTACTTGCATAGCACACACAAAACGCTGCTCCATCCCACTATTGTACAAACTGAATGTGGTGGTGCACACCTGTAATCACAGTATTCAGGGGTGGAGGCAGAAGGATCAATAATTCAGGTCTTGGGGCTGGAGAAAGGGCTCAGTGGTTAAGAGCACTTGCTGTTCTTATAGAGGGATGCGAGTTTGATTTCCAACATCCAGATAGTGGCCCACAACCATCCATTAACTCCAGTTCCAGGGGATCCAGGGCTGCCTTCTGGCTTCCTCAGGCACCAGTCATGCACCTGGTCTACATATATATACAGACACAAGCAAAACATTCATATACATAAAAGGAAATAAACGCAAAACTTTTCCAAATTTTTTTCTAGACTATCTGTGGTTACATAGGGAAGTTGAGGCCAGCCTAGGCTATGTGAGACTGTCTCAAAGAAAATACAGCACACAGCTTGGGTTGAACTGAGTCATTGGTAATAGAAGTAAGCTGGGCAGAAAGCACAGGGTCCTCTATGGGCAGTGTGCAAGGACACTTGCATGGAAAAAGGAGGCCGGTCAGACTCAACAGGAAGCTGCCCTTTCCTCCCACGCCCAATCCACCCACTCACTGGGTGAACCACCTTCAGCCTCACCCACCACTAAGCTGTAATTAGTTTCCTCTACCTGGTGGAGGACGGGGCATGTAAACTTTTCCCACTTTGACCCCTTTCACCCAAGACTTTGGTTTTGGTTTTGAGATAGGATCTTATGTTGTTAAGGCTGCTTTCAGATTTACAATACAGCTAAGGTGGCCTTGAACCCCTGATCCTTGCCCACCTCCCAAGTGCTGGAATTACATGTATGAACCTGCTACTATCATGCACAGCTCAAGAACACACATTGCTTGACACCACTCATGGCTCACCACCAAGCACACACGACTCACCCAAGAAATTTTTCTGTGACCCTATTAGGTATACAAATCAGGGCCAGCGAGGAGCTCAGCAGATAAAGTGTATGTTGGGCAAGGGCAAACCTAGTGGCCCAAGTACCATGCCCAGAGCACACAGTGGAAGAAGAGAACGCGTACCTGAAAGTTGTCCTCTGACCTCCACATCATTCCCACTCTCTTCCCCTCTGCTCTTTCCCTCTCCCTCTCTCCCCCTTTCTCATCTAAAAAAAGTTATACACATTTGTTATTTGTGTATAGCAAATCATCAACTTACTTAAAGTCTTTTGAGACACTATGTAGTCTAGGCTGGCCTCCTGCCTCAGCCTTCAGATCCCCAAGTTATAGGTAGGAGCTACTACACTTGGCTAAGAACTTTAATTCTCTAAGCCAGGCATAATGGTGCACACCTGGAATGCCAGCATTTAGAGGGCAGAAACAGAAGGATTCCTTTAGTGTGAGGTCAGCTTGCTCTGTTTAGAGAGCTCCAGGCCAGCCATGCAGTGAGACCCTGTTTCAACCTTCCCCCAAAAGTGTATGTAAAATTCTACTATTAAAGACAGGAGCAAGGTTGCCCGCTAGAGAGATAGATATATTTGTTTCCTTATTTATTTATTTATTTTTGTTGTTATTGTTTTTGAGACAGGGTTCTCAACCTTCCTAATGCTGCAGCCCTTTAATATAGTTTCTCATGTTGTGATGATCCCAACTATAAATCTATCTATCTATCTATCTATCTATCTATCTATCTACCTACCTACCTACCTACCTACCTACCTACCTATCTATTTTTGGAACAGGTTTCACTGTCGCTTTGAAGCCTGGCCTCAAACTCAGAGATCCTCCTGTCTCTGCCTCCCCAGTTCTGGGATTAAATGTTCATGCCACCACTGCCTGGCCATAAAATTATTTTTGTTGCTACTTCATAACTGTAATTTTGCTACTGTTATGAATCGTAACGTAAATAACTGATATGCAGGTATCTAACATGTGACCTCAAAGGGGTTCCAACACACAGGTTGAGAACCAATGTTTTAAAAAGAAGAACTTGGGCCAGATAGTGGTGGTGCAAATCTTTAATTCCAGCTCTAGGGAGGCAGAGACAAACAGATCTCATGAGTTTGAGGACAGCCTGGTCTACAGGGTAAGTTCCGAGACTGCCAGGACTACATAGAGAAACCCTATATTGAAAAACAAAACAAAAACAAGCAAACAAAAAAGAAAGAAAGAAAGAAAGAAAAAGGAAAACAGAAGAAGTTGGGCTGGAGAGATAGCACAGCAGTTGAGGGTACGCTGATCATGCTGAGAACAGGAGCTCTATTCCTGATACCCACATGTGATACCAACCTAAAACACCAGCCCCAGGGGGTCCAACGCCATCTTCTGACCTCTGTAGGTAGCTGCACTCACATGCACACCCCATGTACACAGCACAGAATGTAAAATAATAAAAATAAAATATTAAAACAATAAAAAGAGCCTGGGCAGTGATAGCGCAGGCCTTTAATCCCAGCACTCAGGAGGCAGAGGAAGTAGATCTCTGTGAGTTGGAGGTGAGCCTAGAATACAGAGCTAGTTCCAGGACAGCCGAGCCTACACAGAGAAACCCTGTCTCCGAAAAAAGAAAACAAAACAAAAGAAAAGAAAGAGGAAGGAAGGAAGGAAGGAAGGAAAGAAGAAAGGAAGGAAGGAAAAGGAAGGATGGATGGATAGAAAACAATAAACAATGGGGGGTAAAGGCAGTTGCTATCAAGTCAACTTGGTAGCAAGTGACCCACTTGAGTTTGAACCCCAGGACCCACATGGTGGAAGGTGAGAACCAACTTCTGCAGGTCATCTACCTCTGCATGTCTATGTCCCACCACTTCACACACACAAGTCTTGGGCAGACACGCTGATCTGTGTCACGTTTTCTCTCTTCATCTGTACCTAGAACAGTGGTTGAAACCCTTACCTCTGCATCACTAACATCCACTTCCCTCCAGGTAGGAATTACACTAAAACCATGAATTGGATTGAACTGGGAAAGGCTTATTCCCTTAGAGGGGTGCCAGTGACCTTTGGCATAAGGGTTACCCACCTGCTTTCTGAGGTCACCTGAAGCAGAGGCAATTTAGGACAATAGGGGGTTGGGAAACTACCATGGAACGCCATCATCATTCCTTCGCCCCGTTATGAGGTTTCTTCCAGCCAGACACAGTGGCACCAGAGTTCCGGCACCATGTTCGACACCAGGAAAACACACACAAGGCTATCTGGGCTGCCTGGGAACTCACAAGTGGCCAGGCAGCCAGGCCCTTTACTTGAGTGATTAAGCCTCCTGTTCTGGATGGGAATGGTCAGGCCCACAAACCCACAGGTGATCTCACTGAGAGCCAGCAGGAGAGCCAGGACGCAGGATACCAGGACTCTAGGCTGCTGCTTGGAAGTTCTACTCAGATAAAGCCACCAGAATAATTTAAAACATTGTAACTAAAATTAAAATGCCCTGGAAGCCAGCCCAGGCCTCAAATCTCAGCACTCCTGAAGCTGAGGCAGGAGAATTGGGAGTATGAAGCCAGCCTGGGCTACCTAGGGAGACACTGCCTCTAAAGGGGAAAAAATGCATATAGTATAGTTAACTTGTTGAACATTAGTCTTGCCTATCTCAGCACGTCCTAAAGCATATTAGCCCATAGCTGGGCAAACCTGTCTAAAACAAAAAGCTTACGTTATAATGAAGTAAATAACCCTGCCTACATACAACAGTTTATATCTAGGCTTAGCAGAGTAGACATAAACCCAGCAGTTGCTGCTTCCTCCTTAGCTGTCATAAAGACAGTCTCAGAGTTACAATGTCATAAGCCACAGCTAACTTCAACCAGGAGATGCAGCAACCAGAGCCTTCTCAAGGTAGCCCCTTAGGCCCAAGCTTGGCAAGAGCATCCCAAGAGCCCAGACAGTTCCATAGCCTGCTACAGGAAGAAGAGTCAGAACCCTGGCAGAAGAGGCCAGCGAGTGCTCCAACACCCACAAGCAGAGTCCAAGCCACCCTTCTGTACTCACCTAAAGATCACCTATGGGTTTGTGAGCCTGACCAGTCCCATCCAGAGAACTGCTGCATTTGGTCCCAGAGGCAGCCTTAAATGCCCTCAGTAGTGAGCAGGTGTTTTGAGGCTGCTCATTCTTCCCTGCAGACCTGTTTGCAACCAAAGTGATGGTAGCTGGGCCTCCGGATGCATATTGAGAACAGCTGGGGAGCTTTGCGGTCCAAATGGTCCAGGTTCAGAGAATGCTTGGTTTGTGTGAGGGTGGGAAGCGTGGGTCTCTCTGGTGATTCTCGTGTTCAAGTGAGCCCTGTGGAGGTGACATGCATATTCAGCATTGAAAGCCCTTGGATAAACTCTTAAGGATGAAAACAGAACAGAAGAGTGTGGGGAGAGGGAGAGAGCCAGAGAATAAATGAACACAGTCTGGGGAAATGACTCAGTCAAGCTTGAGCAATTGAGTTCAAGCCCCAGAACCCCTGCCAAAAAAGCTGGGCATGGTGGCATGTTCTTGGAACCCCAGCACTGGGAATGCAGAGACAGATGGATCCGTGGGCTCAGTGTCTAGGCAGCTTAACCTATTTGGTGTCAAAAAACAAGGTGGACAGCTCCTGAGGAACAGTTGTCCTCTGGCCTCCATGTGCATTTTCACATGAGCACACAAACACCTATGCGTGCACAGCACACACATGTGCATATGCCTACATGCATGCCCCTGCACACATACACTGATGTCTGTAAAACGGAAACTTGACAGACCCAGTTCTGCACAGGCTGCTGCAAATTCCTTAAGAGAGATGAGAGGTGGAAAGCTGAGAAAGACAGAGTATGTTCCAGCTCTGGGCTAGGTAAGAGTTGTAGGTGGGCTGAGTCTGGTGATATATGACTGTCATCTCAGATACAAGGGAATCAGGAGGATGGCAAGTTCAAGGCCTATCTGGGTTATAGAGGGAGCTCAAGGCTAGTCTTGGTAACACAATGAGAAAAAATAAAAAAGGAAGCTTAGATTCCCCTGTGAGGGCTGGGGTGTGGCTCAGGGGTAGAGCACCTGCCTAGGATTCCCCAGTGAGGGGCTGGGGTGTGGCTCAGTGGTAGAGCCCCTGCCTAGAATCCCCCAGTGAGGGGCTGGGGTGTGGCTCAGTGGTAGAGCCCCTGCCTAGAATCCCCCAGTGAGGGGCTGGGGTGTGGCTCAGTGGTAGAGCTCCTGCCTAGAATCCCCCAGTGAGGGCTGGGGTGTGGCTCAGTGGTAGAGCCCCTGCCTAGCACAATATCCTAGTTCTATCTACTCCATCAAAAATTCCACAACACAGTCACTCTTAGGTTTGTGTCACACATAGCATGACTGGACTCACAGAGGTTTAATAATGTTCCTCAGAACATGATGATGACCAGGGTTTGAGGATGGGTATTGGTCCTAAGTCCTGTACTAGATTGAGTCCTTGTTTTCATGGTCACATCTGTCTGGGGCGTGAGAGTGTGTCACATCCTCTGTTTAGTTCTACCCAAGTCTTCCTGTGGGGCTGGTCATCTTCAGCTATACACTGAGTTTGAGGCAACCCTCGGGTCCATGAGGCTATGTCCCAAACAGAACAGAATCAAGCAAAAGCAGAGAGCGAGTGGGGAGGAAGGGACAGAGAAGTGGAGTAGGAAGGGCTGTACACCCAGGCAAACTGGTCTTCAGCAGGCTTGGCAACCATGTCTGGGGTCAAGACACACACTCCCTGGGAAACCTCTAGGAGACTTGGAACAGAGACCTTTTTCAAACTCTCTGGCAGTGCAAAATTCCTTGTCTGCATCCCATGCTTGTCTCTGCCATAATTTAGGAGCCTTCTGCTCAGAACAGCCTGTCCTAGGCCTCCACTTCAAAGCCAGCACAGAGGGTTCCAACAGTCGCCTCCTTTGGCTCTCGCTTCCTTGAGATGACCCTGCAGAATTCCAAGGCTCTCTGGGGGCAAGGGGCTATTTCTGGGCCCAGGATCCGTGTCCATGTTTGGTCTTTAAGGAGTACACAGGGAACCAGTCAATGCTTCATCCTGCACCAACCCTGGGACAGCACTGATCCCCCTTCTTCCCGTGTCTACTGTGGCAAACAGCTGAGAATGTGTCTTCTAGAGTGAGCCAGGAGGACTTCCCTCCACCACCACAGTCTGAAGACTAAAGAGAGCCTCTGGCCATTGATTTATATTTGATTCCTCTTTATAATAAAACAAAATAGATTCAAAATCACTAACAATAGTTTCATATCCTAAAACTAGTCTTCCTGGGATTATTTTCAAGGAACTTGATATGCTTAAAAAGGTTTATTTACTCACTTATTTCATATTTATTTGTGTATATGTGTAATGTCTATGTGTATATATGGGTACCCATTCATGTGGAGCCAGAGAAAAATGTTAGGTGTCTGCCTCAATCATTCTTCACCTAATTTTTTTGAGGTAGCGTCTCACTGAATTTGGAGCTCTCTAATTCAGGTAGAATAGCCCCAGGGATCCTCTTGACTTCATCTTCCAAGCGCTGAGCTTGTGGCTTCTTACTAGGGTGCGGCAGATCTCAGTTCAGGGTCTTAGGCTTTTGTAACAGACACTGAGCCATCACCTCAGCCGCTAAAGAAGGCTTTTTGTTTGTTTAAGTCACCTTTGCTGGGTATGACATTACATGTCTGTAATCCCAGTACCTGAGGCAAGAGGATCAGGAGCTCAGGAGCTCGAGGCCAGCCTGGGCTAAATAGGGAAAAGCTGACTCAAAGCAGCAACAACAACAAAAGAGTGTCAGCATGGTGGCACACATCTTTAATCCTGGCACTCAGGAGGCAGCAGCAGTTGGATCTCTGTGAGTCTGAGGCCAGCCTGGTCTACAGAGTGAGTTCAAGGGCAACCAGGAATACATAGTGAGATCAGGATTAAATAAGTAAATTAATAATTTTTTTTTAAAAAAAGAACAAACATCACCAGAAATTTCCCTACCCAGCACGTATGTGTGGCATCATCTGACTGAGCATCCTTTTAGAGAAAACACCCTTCATGTTTTCTGATCTTATCCTGGGGGGTCAGACAAGCTCCTATTTGGCAAATGTGGAGTTTTCCTGCTCCAGACATTTTTCAATAGCCAACAAAGAGTTGGAACCAGGTTCCAGAGTCTTGTACATCCTTTGAGCTTGCGGTTCATATCAGTAGCTGCCTGGGGAGAAGATAGCTCGGTGAGCAAAGTGCCTACCATAGAAACATGAAGACCTGAGTTTGATCCCTAGTATCCATATACAAAAGCTGGGTATAGTGATACATGCTTATAATCCCAGTGCTGGGAACACAAGAGACAGGAGGTTCCCTAGGGCTCCCTGACTGGCCAGCCTGGCTCACCTGGTGAGTTCAAGGCTAAAGAGAGACCCTGTGTCAGAAAAACAAGGAGGAAGGCCTCTGAGCTTGATCTCTGACCTCCACACAACACACACACCTACAACACACAAATGTATTCTCTCCTCAGAAAAGATACCCAGCCTAATTGTTGTTGACAAAGGAGAAGGCTGAGAAGATGGCTCGGTGGGCACAATGCTTGCTGCACCAGAATAAGGTCTGGTTTCCTGGCAGGTACTTAAAAGCTGGATACGGTAGCATGGCATGCATCCTTAACCCAAGTGTTGAGGGGGAGGAGGCAGAGATACGTAGATTCTGGGGCTAGCTGACCAGCCATACTAGGTAGGTAAGCCAGCTCCAGGTTTAGTGGGAGACTTATCTCAAAACACAAGTGGAGAGCATCCTGAAGACACAAGGTTAACCTCTGGTCTACTTGCTCACACACACGTATGTGCAAGTGCACACACACACACACACACACACACACACGTGCCCAAAAGCATGCAAACAGCCCAGGTGTTATTAACACAGAAGAAATTCTTAGCTCTATTTTCCTCATAAGATGAGGGCAGATGTTTGTATTAGTGACAAGCTGTGTGTCTCTTACTCTGCCTTTGGGGCTGTTTGTGTATCATCCCAGGTGGATTTCCGTCTTATCTCCTGCCTGACTTCCATCTATGCCGAGCAAAACCAACAGAAACTAGAGAGCAAGAAGATAATGTGATTGAACTGTCAGGCAACAAATGACAAAGGGATGCTTATGGTGTGGGATTATCGCTTCCAGAAGACAGATGGGGAGGAGGGAGAGGCCATGGAGGTGACTGAGCTGCCCAAGGGTACTGTAGGAAGAGCTATACCTGAGTCAGGTTTCTTTTTTTTTTTCCTATTTTTTAAATTTTTTATTCATTTTACATACCAACCACAGTTCCCACTCCTTCCCCTCCTCCTGCCCCCCCATCTACTCCCACTCTACCCCCCAGCCACTCCTTTATCGGATGAAAGGCAACAGTTTCTCAGATTGTACCTACAGTGGTGCATGCCTGGAATCCCAGTCTAGAGGCAGCGGAGGGGTGGGGGATCGTGAGTTCAAAACCAGCCTGTTCCACAAAGCAGGACCATGTCTCAAAAAGTGATAAAAGCACTTGCTACTAAGCCTGATGACCTGAGTTCAATCCCTTCAACTTGATGGAAGGAGAAATTTGACTCCTGCAAGTTGTCCTCTTACACCTTGGCTTTTAAAAGACAGATGTTTTATCTTTTGAGATTATAATTGTCTCATTTCCCACTTCCCTTTCCTCCCCCAAACCCTCCCATATACCCCTCTTTCTCACTGCTTCAAATTCATGGCCTCTTATTTCATTAATTGTTGTTATATGTGTGTGTGTGTGTGTGTGTGTATATGTTACTTTTTGTATATGTTTTTAGGGCTGAACATTGGTTAAAAAACTGTTTTTACAATACCCTACACTATATACATAAGGCAAGATTCCCTACCCCCAGCTCTCTACCATGCAGTAGCAATGAAGCTGGTGGGGGGGGGTGTTTTGCTTTTGTTTTTATTTTGTTTTGTTTTAAGACAGAGTCTCAGTACATAACACTGACTGACTGAACTTGCTATGTAGACCAAGTTGGTCTAGAACACACACAGAGATCCACCTGTCTCTGCCTCCTAAGTGCTGGGAACAAAGGTGTGCGCCACCACACCAGACCTTGGGGTTCTGGGGCATCTTCAATGTGAAAACAATTGTACTATGATTTTCACTGTCTTTTAGTGAAAGGGGTTACAGCATTGAAG